AGTCACCAACAGGAGAGATTTATTATCATTATTATTAATTTAGAGTCTAAAAATGAAACAAGATTGATAAAAATCCATAAACAGAACAAAAAAAAAGGTTCATTTCAAGATGGTAAAATAAGATTAAAGGAATAAATGATGTGAAATGTGCTGCTAGTTCTTTATGAACTTGTGTAATATGTTGTTTTATATTTTTATTTATGACTAAATGTAATCTAAATGGCTTCTGTGTACAGTGATGTCATTTCACTTCAGGGGTCTTTTGTTCATCACTAATGTTGAAGAGGGAGCTGGGGCTATAATTTATACACAAATATACATTTATTTCACATGAACAACATCAGCCAAATGTTGCCAAAATGTCTACTTCCCTGTTTTCTTGGTAATACTGTGTTATTTCTAACAGGCTCGACGGTTATAACAGGTCATGTATTGAATATTTTCTTGTTCTTAGTTAAAACCCATTGGATCACCTCTCCAATGATAAGGTCTGTTTTTAAATCATCGACAGGTTAAAGTATAATTATTTACAACAGCTTGTTGTAAATAATCTGGTGGGATTTGCCGTGTGTTTATTCTTCCTTGGTTTTTCTAGTGTTTCTGTATTTCCCTGTGGATACCTGCCCCTGTTCCCTCCCAGGCACACCTGATCCTCATGTTTCCTCCCCAGGTGTTCCCAATCAGTCCCAGTTTACTCACCTGTGTATTCTCTTCACCTTTCTGTTGGATCACTCTGTGACAGATTGTGAGTGCAGAGGACTGAGTTTTTAGTTTCTACACTGAGACGATGTGATGCTGCAGACAAACTGAGGTTTTTGTACGTTACATTATTTTCAYATTTATCTGCATGTCGTTGCATGAATTTAACATTTACTHAAAGAATAAAGCTGAACAGACGCTGCTTGTGTTTCAGAGCCAGGTGGACTGACTGTCTCAGTGTCTGCATGATGATCCGTCCACAGGAAGAAGATGAGGTCATTCATCAGCAGGAAGGTGAAGAAGAAGCTGCAGGTGACATGATGAACAGTCTGAACATAATAAATATATGAAATGTTTATTACTGATTGAAACTATTAACCTTAAAGTGACCTGAAGCAGGTTGTGTGATGACTGCTGTTTGTTCAGTCAAACTGCATCAAGATGATCAGAGCAGCATCAGATAAAACCATGTCTCTACAAATAACAACTGTTTTAGACCAAGTTTTGTTTTTTTTAACCATGAATAGACTAAAATATTTATGTTTGAAAAGAAAAAGTTTCATTAGTTTGGCTGCAGCTGCACCTCTTCAAATCTTCCAGCAGGGGGCGGTGTTCTACAAAAAACTGTTGTCCCGTTGGATAATTCTCCCAGCATGCTTTGTGAGAGAGCAGATTAAACAAGGTTCTGGGATTACGGTCGAGTTTGTCCAAATAAAGGTGACTATTTTTAATATTTGTTCATTTTATTGCTTAGGTATTTTAGGCCCTGCTTCATTTTGAGCAATTTATTGCAGTTTAAATGTTGTTTTAGTTCACTTTTATTTCGTGTACTCATATTCTGATGCTTAAATTATTAAAGCATCATTATACATCGCGTGAGCAGGGTTAACGCTTTTACTATTTTTTTTTAAATAAATGTAGATTAACCAGGCATTTAAACAAGAATTTAAAGTTTTATATTTTTCCACAAAAAATAACAGAATCCCGATTTAAATCTGAAAATATTATTTAAATAAAACATCTGGACACTTGTAAAATATAAAATTTATGTAATATTTTTGTAACATATTCATACGGTGGCCCTGAAGGGTATATCGCAACAACAAATCACTAAACACAACAACATTACAGATGACTTATTTAGTTAAAGTCAAACACAATATTTGCTAATGCTACACAATGTTTTTTTGTTTGTGTTCTAAAAATACAGTAGCTACTTGTATTTACCTACTTATTTTTTATAGATCAGAGCCTAGGATATAAATTTTTAATCACTAGAGATTGAAGGTACTCGTTGTAAATTGTGAAGTCAAACATAAAAAATGATAGTTATTTCCAGCAGTTTTACAGATTTACTGATATTCTAYAATGTGGGTCTGCACTCAATATAAACATAATTTGTTGTTATGCTGGCTGTAGACATACAAATCATGTGACATTTTTTTCTTTTCAATTATTTTAAAGGTTCAGATTGTATTTATGATTTGTTTACTGTTGTTCCTGCAGCTGAGATGTCTGAGAAGATCCAGAATTACAGGACCGCTCCTTTTGACGCCCGATTCCCCAACACCAACCAGACCCGCAAYTGTTACCAGAACTATCTGGGTAAACAAGACAATCTGCTTTCCACACTTTAAAAAACAGTTCCTGTCATCTRMTTTTTTTTTTWAACCTGATTTCTGATGKCAGATTARTTTCCTTGTTTTCTTTTAAACACASAAATRAGATCAGGTGAATTAAAACCTGCTGAAGTTTTTTGTGGTGTACAGTGGAAACATTTTGAACCCATTAGAAGGCTTCCAATTACAAAATAAAGCAGTGTAAGGTTGTGGAAGGAAGAAAACMGACTGAGAAACAGTCAAATAAATAAATAAATGCCAGTGTCACTTCTCATACAGAAAGGAGGACTCAGAGATGCAGYTTATATAATCTGTGATATTTCTGCTGCAGAGTGACGTAAGGGTCGGAGCCGCTGGAGCAAACATAAAACACTGACATCATTTCATACAGATGTTTTCACATTACTGTAAAACACAAAACTGTTTAGAATAATCTGTGAATGCTTTGGATTAGGCAGCATTTCTGTCTGAACTGCAGCGTTCTCGGGATAGATTCATTATAAAGCAGATTACAGAGTAGGGATTTGAGGAAAAGACTTGTTTTATGTTGGAATTACATCATTTAAACTGAAACTAAACAGCAATTATTACAGGTCACATGTGGAAGGCTAAAAGTGTTTATATAAAGTGATTTATTACTGTGAAGAAACTGTTTAATTTTAATATTAATTTTGTAGCATACAAATCATTTTATAAATACACGTTTTTAGTTAATATTAATACATAAAGCAGATAGAAAATCACATTTTTATGACTGGGTATGTTTGCTTTAAGATCCAATTAACTAAAAATAAAAAGCTTTTGTGGTAGAAGGAAATATGTTTGGTGCCTGAAGGAGGAGCCAAAGCTCCCAGCAGGAGGAAAATGTTTCACTGAAGCTGTGAAAAATCTGCTCATATCCAGAAATTTACAGCATTTTATTGAATTAAACGTCTTTGAGGATTCGGTGCATGAAACTCCACGGATAAATGTTTAATAAGAGTTTGTTTTACAAAACTGTAGAAAAATCAGGGCCTGGATTTATCAAACTTTATCTTAAGGTTGCTGTTAAGAGTGAACTTAAGTGTAAAAAGATTCTTACCTAAAAGCTGGTTTTTCCTCCCCTTTTGTGTTTTCCACTCCTTATTTTAGTTCTTATTTCTGTTACTGACACAGTTTATATTTGCACATTATTTAAAACACCTGCCTAAAACTAATTTTTACTGCTGTAAATCAGACTGACTGGTATTTTCTGCTCGCAGCACTTTGCTCAGCTCTGTTTTTAAATGTGTTCACAGATTATTAGCAGCTCCTTCTTGTTTCATGTTCCTCCCACAGATTTCCACAGATGTAGCAAAGCTCTGTCAGCTAAAGACCAGGACCCAGCTCCCTGTGAGTGGTACCGCCGGGTCTACAAGAGCATCTGTCCCATGGACTGGGTATGCTTCTGAACAGAAAATATCAAATATGTAATTATAAAAAAAGTTAACACTCTGAATCTGCTGGTTTTAATTTTATAAGATTAATTTTATAAGTTGTTTCCAATCCTACATTTTCTTGTTAGATTTTAAAACTAAATAATATTTTGTTGTCATATTTTGAAGCTGCTAAGGCTAATGTAGCATTTAAATGGTTATTTAAATGTTTATTTGTGATGCAGTCTTTTGATATCTTTTATCCTGTTCTTCTGTTTGACTCTGGAAGGTTCAGAGATGGGACGATCAGCTGGAGGAAGGAAGCTTCGCCGGGAAGATTTGATCTCACTTTTCTTCTGTCGCCAATTTACTGTGAAACATTCCAGTATTTTTGTGTCGACGTAACAAACTAAAACAAGTTATTTTAAAGGGAACCACGTTAAACTTGAACTAATTAACTGTAGTGTTGATTTATTGTTTCACTTTAGATAACATCAC